GAACTTTGCTTATTTGCATATGTTATTGCTGAAAGGACTACTATTACTGCAGCGAAAATCAAATTAAATTAACAATAAGATCCGTATTTATTATATGTGAAGTATGTTGCAAAATTATTGTTAATCATTTTAAAAACTAATTTAAAAATGTTGATTAAAAGACGAAAGGGTATATCGAATGAGTATAATACTTAATTGTAATTGTACTTACGATAAGAAAATTATAAAAAAGTAATGTAGTATTTTCTTTTTACTTTGTTTTTAGTTAACGAAATTATTTATATAGAAAATACTTTGTCCGTATAAGAAAAATTTTAAAGATTCAGCATTTATGCTTTCCATTTTCTGTAGCAGGAAAAGTCATTTAAAATGAAAATATAAAAAGAAAAAGAAACAATAGTTATTTAATAGTATCTAGATAATGATATTAATTTATATACAAGGTGTCTTAAAAGTCTGTTAACCGAACTGAAAAATTATAATTCTTTTTTAGCAGGTACTTATAATACATACTTTTTAAAAAATTCTGTAACTGGAAATTCATTTTTCGAAATGAAAAGCAAAATATTGGAATTCTATTATTACACAAATATCGATTTATTCTTTAATTTTTTTTTTTTTTATAAAGTGATTCTTGGAACACTCTGTATATTGTCATTCTATTGTTTAGTTACGGTAAAGAAAATAAGTGAGTGAACTACTTTTTTATTGCAATTTAAAGCATTCGTTATATAAAACGATAGCGAACGTTACGAAATTTTTTGATTAATCGAAATACTTATCAAAATGTTATTTTCGTTGAAATTCACCTGCCTTTTCGATGGAGCTTAAAAAACAACGTGAAAGTATTTTTTAATTTGTAGAGCAATTTTGAAACATTAAGTTTTTTCAGTGGATCTTTCAGAGATAGATTATGAAGATAGAACATTATTTATAAATATGTAAATATAAATGTGGTCAATCCTTTTTCATTTCTCAAATTCCGTATGTTATTTAATTTTATGATCGTATAATTGTTTTATACACTATTGACGAATTTATTTATATTTCCTTATGAATATACCGTTGTACTAACACGATAGCTTTCGCCAATCATTTGCCATTTTGTCCTAAACATGCTCTTTTACCTCTATTCAAATAAATAAATCAAATAAATTTTTGTTTAATTTATTTTGTTTAAAATTTTTAATTTATATCGTATTTATTTTCATTTTTTGTATTTTACTGCAAAAGGACTCCTTTGATTGAACAGAATCCTGGGTTTTAACCCGTAAAGACCATGCCTTAATATTTCCCTGGTAGCAATATTTTGAAAAATTTTTTTTTGCAAAATACTTTTTACAAAACAAAACAAAAATGGAATACATATAAAATATTGAATATTGTGATATCGAACGCGCCTCCATACCAAATAAATAAACACGTATCCGTGAGAAAGTTGATCCGAAGTATGCCCTGGGTAAATCCATGGATAGAGCAGTTGCTCGGAAGGCGAAAGATCCAAGGTTCAATTTTTTCACGAATTTTACAGTATATTTGATTTATCTTATGAAAAAGTAAAAATTTGTTTAGTATAATCTCATAAACATAGTCATTTTCTTTCATTAAAAACTTTCATATAGTTTCATTTCATCTGATAATATTATCGCGTCTCATAAATTTTTAGCGGTTTTTCTTCGTGCTCATTTTGAATTTTTCCATCCTTTCGTTGTTATCGTATTTCGAGCATGCAACTTTCCTCTATCGGATAAATGATTGCCTTCTGCTCTAATTACTAATAAATTGCACGAACCTTCTTTCGAGACATCCATTTTTCGTAAACCACATTCATTTTATCATTTTACGTCGTGGTTGAAATTTTCAAATCGTATATTTTTCATTCTCTATCCCTAAATCTAACTAATATATTATGCGAATTGAAATAAGACGTAAGGGTTATTGCGAGTATGATCGCGTAAAATAATGTACTGAGATTAATGTTATTCGAAAATGGAAGCGAAACATTTGATTGCAATACAACTACTTTCAACGATTGCTCCATAAATCCTTTTATCCGTGTGATAACATCTTGGCCACGCATCCTGAACCCTTATAAATGTCGAAGAAAATAAGAAGTTAATCTTTTAAAACTCGATGTTCTTGGGAACTTTTTTCTATAAACGGTCGAGAGAAGCAAAAAATCGTCTTCCTGTAATATTTAGTATTGTATACATGTTTGAAAAAATGTACAGTATTTACATTTTTTATATTTTGTTTGAAGAATGTTGGATCATAAAGTAAAATGGATATAGAATTATTAAAAATTTATGATTTTTCATTGAAAAAGTAATTTTACTTTAAAGTAATGAAACTATAAAATAAACTGTAACTGTAAAATAACTATTTTATTCTACGTATTGTAAGGACAAATTAATAAGGGCGTAAATTTCCAAATTTTTATTATAAGTAATATTTTTGATAATTTATAATTTTTGCGTATCCTATGCAACGAGTGAGTAGGGCGAAGCGCCGGGGCGTGCACGGCCCTGCCGAGACGTGAGACACGCTCGACAAAGTAGTGTCTTTGTTTTTGGTAGTAGCCACGGTAGCGCTAAGATGCTTGTAAGGGCTYYTTCTTTCTTCTAGCTTGAGTTCTCCCACCACATTTATTATGCCAATCACATGTATCGACAGCCGTGTTATGCTCGGGCTTTTCGGTGATTGGTGCAGCATTGCACCGCTTTTTTGTATAAAGCCCAGCGCGTTCTTGCGCCTAGCAGCACTCATCATTTGGGCACTCTTGGTTCATCACGCGTGATTCATCGCTCGAGATTCATCTATCTTA